TCAATAAAATAATACTTTTTTTAAAAAAATAAAAGAGCTCTGGAAGCAATAGAAATAAAGACACATTTTCTGTCTCCACTGGAGTCAGGGAGGGCTTCAAGACACAAAATGGCATTTGACAACATATATGATGAATAGTTCAGTTGAGCTCTAATCCAGCGTGAGTGGCATATTAGGGGGAAAAACCCCACAGCAACCAGAAAAAAGAGCCAGACCATAATGGGTCTTGAATGCCAAGTTAACTTCATGCTGCAGGCAGGACAAGGGGCAGTGGTGGCTTCTCAGTTAGGAAGGGGCAAAACCGAATTCTCTTCTAGTACTATTAACCCAGCAGCTATATTCAAGGTGGACAGTAGAGAGAAGAGAATGGAAATGGGAAGTAGGAAGGCAAAATTGGGGGGAGGGGGGCAGCATTTCCCAAACTGGGTTTTTCTATAAGATGGTGACGTGTTCATACATGAGACGCATTCTGAGGTGAAATAAGTTCTGGAAACACCAAATCAAAGTAAGTTACACAAGCTTCTTCACTGAAGAAGTCTCAGAACCTTTTTAGTATGCAGTGGTGCATTATAAATAGCCAAGCAGGATACAACGCACAGCATTCCCCAAGCTCATTTGACCACAGGACCCCGCTTTTCATGCCAGTGCTCTCTGGGACATGGTGACGGCAACTAGTCTTTCATGACAGTCCAACCAACCAGCCAGGTGGTACTGAGCGCTAGCTGTATGCCCGGCGTTTGCTAGGTACTTTACGAGATGCAAAGTCTAGTAAGGCAGATAAAACTAAGCTGGAAGACCACCACAAAAATTAAGTACAACACCGTGTCGTAGAAGTTCAGAGAAGGGAGAGGTTGGCAGTGGCTGAGGTGATCGGAGGGGGCTGTGGGACCTCAAGCCAGGCCTGAATACAGCTTCATTAGACAAAAGAGAAAAGGGGAAGAAAACTGCATGAAATGGGCACTAGAAGAACACCATTTGTAGGGGCGTAGTGGGAGGGCTGGCTTGACTGGAAAGAAGTGTTCCAGTGATGGTTCATGGTTAATTTGTTAGGTAGGCAATCGGAAGCCCTTAGGGTTTTTGAGAAACCATTGCCCCAAATGACTTAGTTCCAACAAGCTAGTGGAGAATCCCCAGAGGACAGTATTTTCTAGAATCCTTACAGCCCCTTGAAGTAACTTGACTGCCTGTGAGCAGAGTAGCCCGAGGCCAGCTGTGCACTATGTCGGAGCCTTTGACCCACTCAGGTGTCGTGATTTTATAATAGTATCGGTTGGGCAAAAGAGTTCATGTCATTAAGTGCCTAGTGATGAAACAGAACAATGGACAGCAATTTACTCCAATAGGACCCTTGTATCAGGAACGTGGGGAATCCTAGAGAAGAAAGCAGATTTGGAGTCTGCCAGAAGCTTTACTGGTTCATTCCCCCAGAATGAGCACCACTGTTCATCCAATGGTAGACATACCATTTCAGGGACCAGAGCCATCAGGTAGTGGGTGACAAGGTACCTGGCTTATTGATAGACTCACATCCTTACGTCTCTGCCTCTTGTCTATAGCTGGATAATATTACTGCTGCCAGTAATTCTGGTGAACCCATTGAACCCGTTGGACCTGGTAGTCCAGACCAGGTCTCCAAGGCAGTTGAGTGTCATTACATGTCCATGAAATCCTGGTAAGTAAAACTGCCATACCTTAAAATTTGATCTTAGCTAATGTATTGTTCTAGAACAGTTGCTGCCAGATCATTTAAATCGTTGATATAATAATACAAAAGCATTACCATAGACCAAGCTCAACACGCCATTCAGTCATCTCAAAACAAGTGAACGTGAGAATGGTTTCTCTACCCATAGAAAACCATTAGTGACATCCTGGGGACATTTTCTGTCTCCCGGGGCAGTTCTTTTCTATTTTGCATTTACGTCTCTCACACGCTCACTTTGTCTCTCCAAACCCTCCCAATGTAAAGGGCTATTTTGGTCCCATGTCCATTTTTAGAAGGAAAGTTTATTGGATTTGGTTCTAACTGTAGCTGGGATTCTGATGGTTGGACATACTTCAAAACCTTGTTAGTTTTCACATGGCTGTTAGCTACTTAAATCTGATTCACACACCACGGAAAGCTGTAAATAGATAATGCTGAAAAAGGGTTTGTGTTAACTTCTTGTACTCTAGTGTTTCCGAAGAGTCGTCCCATAAGTCTGCTGATGGCAAAGAGGAATCCCAGACCCTGGCAGATATCCTGAATGGGGAGCTTCACCCACAAGAACAAGGCTCAGGAACAGGCTCTTGTCTTTCACCTGCCAATACGGAAGCGCAGATCACGAATGACAAAAAGGGGTCGGCCTCACTAAGTGTTGTGCAATTGTCTATACTAATCAAGTAAAGTTCTCATTTCTTAAATTTTATGGGTCCGTAGAGCAAGGCAGGCTTCCATTTGTACTCAGAATTCACATTTTAATCTCCAACTCAGCCAAGAATCTGTCCAGCTTGCCCTTCTCACTGATACAGTAACCAAGGACAGTGAATACCAGAGTTGGAAGTGCAGCGAGCAGTCCCCTGGGCTGTGAGTGGCATTTTCAAATACTTTAAAAAATTCTGTTCTTTCAGGTTCTGGTACCTTGGATCACCCTGACCTGGGTTGTATATCACCCAGATTTTACTATTAAAATGACAGGCATGCAAGTCACATGAGGTTTGGTTGTAGACTAGGCTGGAGAACTTTCAGGTTTTAAATGATGCCAAGAACATTTGATGAGATCGTTCTCAACTTTAACTCTTTTCAATGTCTCCTTCTGTGGAGAAGTGTGCAAACTGACATGATATATAATGAACTTCGTCCATTTTTTACTCCTTTTCCATTGTCTACCATCGCTACCACATCCCAAGGGGGTGGAGGAGGGCATTAACGAGTAACTTAAATTCTTATCCTTCTCCAAATGTTTTGGACAATCTTTAATGGCATAATACCGTCTCAGATGTCGGAAGCCAAAGTCCATTCAGAAGGTACAGTTCAGAGCCAGAGAGAGTCGCCTGACTTTTACAAATGTCTTGTAGTAACATCCCCGATGAAATCCAAGTGGAGAAGCTGAACATGTTCCTTTCTCCTCCTGACATCATAAACCATCTTGCTCTCAGAGAAGCTGCAGGACAGATATGGTAGGTAGGAGATTTGAGGGTTACTGATTATAAATGGGGTTGGATGATATGAAGACAGTCATTATATCCTGAAGCACTGTATGTGGCAAAACTGCCTGGAGAACTCGGACTCTCGTGCTGCTGTTGTCACAAAACGTCTTTGATTGAGGCAGAAATAAGGATACTGTTGTATAGGAGGGACAGCTGGGAGATAGGTGGGTATAGGAGGACCCAAAAGTCCAGGAGGCACTAAATTTCTGATTTTTTGAAAGTGAGGAAAAGTGGGCAGGAATACGTATCGTCCAAGGAAATCACTGCCAAACAACGAGCAGTGAGTATTTGATGAATGAAGTCAGTGAGGTCAACAAGAATCTAAGGTCTAAAAGAAAATGGCATACCAGGGTCGAAGACTTCTAGACATCACGTAAAAACCTGCTGGTCAGGGACTCAGACACAGAAGATTGTGTGGCAGAGAATTTTCTTAGAATGATCACTGTTTGTTTGATTCTACATTCTTTTAAAGACCTTGTAATTCATTTTGATGGAAGATTACATTTTTAGAATAGAAGAAAGCTTGTTAATGTAAACATCACACATCAATTATAAGTTCTGTAAGAGGGCAGGAACCACAACCTGCCATTTTTCCAAACTTCCCACAATCTAAGGCTCAAAACATATTTGACGGAAACTATGGACTCCTCTACACCTGAGCTTGCTCATCTAATAATTCATCTATTTTTGCATGACATATTCACTGTGTGCTCACTTTAAATACTGGGTTTTTCCGTATCGTCTTACGGAAAAACCGGAACGAACTTTTTGGCCAACCCAGAACGTAACATCTTCTGTTTATGGGGTTATAAAAAAACATTTTTTTTAAGGTGGTTCCATACTTCTGGGGTCTCAAAGCCGTTGAAAAAGACAGCTGCATAAACAAGTAAATATAAAATGCATTTGATCTGAGTATACAATAAGCGAGGGGCTCAGACAATGCAGTAGAAGTCCAGAGGCAGAAGAGATTAATTAAGGTAAAGGAAGGGTAATGTAGGAGGGCTTTGGAGAGGCAGTGTCATTGGAGTTGGAGTTTGGAGGAAGACTCAGGCTCCAAGAGTAATGATAGAGGAAAGAAAATTCCAAACAGAAAAAGAGAGTTCGACTACTTCAGATGTAGCGCAATATAGCTAAAGAAGCTAGTAATAGTAGTGGTAGAATAGAGTGGGGAGCCCCATCTGTATCTCCATCTGTGCCCCGCACTCCCAGCAAGCACCGTCTCACTCTTGTGTTGGATGCTGTACCCCCGTTGCAGTGTGGCTCAGTGGGATGGCCCCCCGCACCTGGGATGCTTATTTTTTCACGGAGATCACCTTTTGGCCGTGAATGACCTGAAGCCCCAGAGCCTGGAGGAGGTTTCCTTGTTTCTCAGCCGGTCCATCGAGAGGGAGGTGAGTCCTGCTGATTGGCCCTGGTCAGGGCAAGAAGGAACAAGATCAAGGTCTTGGATGGTGTCTGAACAGTGCTGTGCTCTGAAGACAAATGAGACTCTGCAATCCGCAGCCACCATATGTAAATAAGAGAATAAGCAGTGTAAATAACACTTCATAAGATACTTCTAAATAACAAGAATGTTATTTTAGGACCCTTTTAAAATTCTTTTGTATCAAGTAGTATTTGGAGGGAGCAGTGGGCTAGGAGACTGAACGGCTGGGTTCAAGACCTCAGATGCAGCATGACATGGCAAAAAAGAGCTTGCAGTGGAATCAGGCAGGCTCAGTGTTTACATCCAACCTCCTTTAACCAAATGGTGCCTCAATCTTCTCTTCTGTAAAATTAGGGATAATGATAATGCTAGTTATTGGAGAATTAAATGAGATAATATATAACATGCTTACAACAGTGACGGGCACATATTAGGTGCTCAGTATGGTTACTATTACTTCTTGTACTATCGGCTGGGGAATGCTGAACACGTTTAGCTTTTTTTTTTTCTTTTTGCTGTTCGTGGGCCTCTCACTGTTGTGGCCTCTCCCGTTGCGGAGCACAGGCTCCGGACGCGCAGGCTCAGCGGCCATGGCTCACGGGCCCAACCGCTCCGCGGCATGTAGGACCAGGGCACAAACCCGCATCCCCTGCATCGGCAGGCGGACTCTCAACCACTGCGCCACCAAGGAAGCCCCCAGGTTTGGCTTTTTAAGCCTCCATTTCCAAATCTTAGAAATTGACATACCTTCCTCGCAGACTTATTGTAAGAATTATAGTGAACGTGCGACTATGGACCGAGTACGCATGTCGTTAAAAGACTCACCGTGTTTCTGCCTATTAGTGCCGTCTCCATATCGTTAACTCCTTTCCTGGTCTATTTTTATTTCTGACATGCCACTTGACCTTGGGAAAGTCACTTCCTTCTCTGACAAGTCAGTTTCAGTTTCTTCTCTCTAAAGTGAGAGAGGGTTGGTTTTCAGACTGTACTTCTTGGACCCCTAAGACCAGGACAGGAGGAGAGGGGAGGGAGAGGACCGTGTTCTGGGCTTCGGCTAGTGACAGCAGTGTATGTTCCTCATTTTTTCACGTTGGAACTTCCTGTTACCTCACCTCGAGGAAACACTAACTTGGCTTAGAATTTCTGAAAACCACAGTACAGGAAGATCTCTCAAATTTCTTCCAGCTCTGAGAGTTTATAATTAAATATGTCTTATCTCTTCTGCATCACACAATAACTTTGTTGGTTAGACAAATTGTACTACCCCTACTATCTAAATGGGAAAACTTAGTAAGAATGAGGGAGTTGTCTAAGATACATAAATAGTGTTAGAGCAAAAGGACTCATTCATTCCTTCACTCACTCACCATTTATTGAACGTCTATTGTATGCTGTATTCTCTGCTAGGTCCTAGAGCCACAAAAATGGCCTCGGCCTGAGCTCAAGGAGCTTACAGATTAGTGGATAAAACAGGTATATTATGTGCTAGTTACAGGTGCAGTATGTGCCTTGAGATACGAACAGAGGACCACGGGATCACAGAGGAAGAATGAAGTTAATCTATTTGAGGGAGGCCAGAAAGGTGTCTCAGAGAAGGGGATGCTTGACTTGGGTTTTGAAGACTAGGGTAGGAGTTTGTGTGGTGGCAAAGGGAAGCTTTCAGGAGTCCAGCCCAACGCTCTAGTAACTGTAATATATTTCCTCTGCCAAAGACCCATGCTGCGGCCAAGTGTTCAATATAATCTTCTGAAAGTTACCAAACAGTACGCTTATCCAGAGACCTAGGCATCAGCTCTGAAGCCAAGAAAAGGGTTTTTGCCTGGGAGCAGATCCAGGAGGAACTCCACCTGGGTGTTGCTGACTGCAGTTTATCAAGACTGCCTTCTAGATTGTGGAGTCACTTGCATAAGAGGGACTGACAGCATTTCTTTTGGGCTCATTCTGCCTGACCCCCTTTCTCCTAGATGCTATTGAGAAATACATGTGTTCACCAATATGATTATTTGAAGATCAAAAAACTCCCCAACTTGCCCACCACCCCTACCATTCCTGATCTATTTCTTTATGTTAAAAACAAATATCCAGTCCTTTTAAAAATTCAAATAGCTGGTCCCTGAAAGGAAAAAGGATAGTGGAAGATGGGAAGATATGGAACGAAAGGAGGGGCAGTCAAAGGCCCCTAATGTTTTACAGCAGCTGAACCAAGCAGATGTACTTTCCATCCTTGAGAATGAAGTTGACAGAAATGGGAATTTGGGGTGAGCGTGGGTAGGGACAGGAAGGGGAGAGAATGTGAGATTTTAAAAGGAGGGGGAGGAGATGTGCATGGGAAAGGGGAGGAGATGCTAGATTGCAGGAGAAACACATAGAACTTCAGTCTCCTCCCAATTTTGTCAGGGGCTGGTCCTGTCTGGTGGTCTTATTTGGATTCTCTTGTTTCAAGAGGCTTTTTGTTTCTTGGTACAAATGGGCCCATCTGGACAGGACTGATGTACTCTGGAATCTGCCCTAAGGGCTCAGGCCAGTGGAGGCCAGAGAATAAAAATCCATCTTCCACATTAATATATCAATATAAGTCATCCTGGTTTTTTCCGGCCCAGATTTTCCTCACAACCAGCTTCAAAGGGTGTGAATGAGGACAGACTGACACTGAGAACCAACAGTCCTAAAGATAGTCTTTAGTCATTTAATGTTCTTCTTTCTTGTGTTTTAGAAAGTAAAACTCACCATCGCTCGGATCCCAAATTCAGAGAAATTCCACGCAATAGCCTGTATGTGCCACTTACCAGACCAAGGTATTAAACCTTCTAAACTGGATACGTCTGTACTGGAGAGGACACTGGAGAGGAGTCTAGCCATTAAAAAGGGTCAGCAGAAAGGATCTGGAGAGTAACGTGCTGGGGCCCACTGCCGACAAGCGAGGATGGGCCCCAGACTCTGTGCTGAGCTCTGCCCCTCACCGCTGTGTGATAGCAGGCAGTCAGCACAGCTCTCTGAATTTCTCCATCTGCATCTGAACAATGGGAATAACCATCCCATCTCTGGCTATTGCGTCAGGGATGTTGAGAGGCCCAAGTGGGATGATAACTATGGAACACAGTGAAAATGTAAGGCCTTATTATCTCAGACTTTGTCCCAAACACCACAGACTGAGATTGGGTAAGCTTCTCATCTAAAATGTGCTGTGTGTTCTGTGAGGTCATGGTCCACACAGTCTCTTCTTTGTTAGGGAATGGACAGTTGGAAACATTCATTTCGGGAAGCCAAGATTCCCGAGAGAGATGTGGTACCGTATCAGCCTTCCCAGACACCTCCCGCTATCCATCACATGCAGAATGCTAAGACACAGTGACTTCTTGGATTCAACAATCATCTTGTTTTCTTAAAGACCAAGGAACAATTTTAGAAGTCGAAGCAATTTTAAGGTTATATCCAGCAAAGTTTGCTTGCTCTACAAGTAATAAGGGAACTGCTTAGCACTTCTAAGTTTGAAAGTTCTTAACTAATTGATGCATTAACTCATTGATCCTAAAAGGCCGAAAGGATCAATTCTTTTTTCATAAATAAGACAACAAATGCAGAGAACTAAAGGATGAATCAAGGATGGGGGAACGGTAGAGCAAAAGAGGCCTTCGGAAAATAGATCTTACTGTGTTGCCATTTCACACGGGAAGAAATCAAGGCCTCAGACATTTAATGATATATTTTCTTCATGGCTCCTGGTTTCATAGCTATTTAGTGGCAGAACCAAGAATCTAAAACCAGCTCTGAGAAACAGATGTCCTGATCTTCACTTTGTATTTGGATTTAGATTTGAAAAGACCTTCAACACACAGATGAGACACTGAAATGTAGTTCATTTTCTGTTATCTAGATTGTACACAAAAGTATTAAAAAATTTTCATTTGCATGCCCTATTGGACCTACTGTTTCTTTTTCTTTTTTTTTTTTTTTGGTAAAGCTAGATTGGAGTTAAGACTCTACTTTTTTCCAGTTTTATTGAGATATAATTGACATATAACATTGTATTAGCTTAAGGTATACTGTATAATGATTTTATATGTGTATATTGACCTACTGTTTCTACTTCTAGAAATTTATCCTACAGAAACACTCACACAAATACACAAAGATATCCGTAACAACAACAACAAAAATCCTTTGGGAACTGCTTAATTATGATGACTTCATATAATTGAACATTCTGCAGATGTTCAAAGTTCTACATGAATGATTAGGAAAGATGTTCACAATATCCTAAGAATGAAAGAAGCAAGTTGCAGTTAGTAGGTATAACATCATCCCACATTTACAAAAATAAATGACTGGTGTTGGTGCATATAAAATTTTCCCAACCCTGGGCTTCCCTGGTGGTGCAGTAGTTGATAATCCACCTGCCAATGCAGGGGGCACGGGTTCGAGTCCTGGTCTGGGAAGATCCCACATGCCGCAGAGCAACTAAGCCCATGTGCCACAACTACTGAGCCTGCGCTCTAGAGCCCGCGAGCCACAACTACTGAAGCCCGCACACCTAGAGCCCATGCTCTGCAGCAGGAGAGGCCACTGCAATGAGAGGCCTGCACTCTGCAGCGAGGGATAGCCCTCGCTCGCCGCAACTAGAGAAAGCCCACCCACAGTGACGAGGACCCAACGCAGCCAAAAATAAATAAATAAAATAAAGAAATTAAAAAAAATTTTTTCTCAACCCTAACTGGGGAGAGAAATCCCTCCCTCACAGGGGTTGTTATGATGTTGAAATGGATGATGTACAAACAGCCCCTGACACATTGCCTGATATGGAGTAAGCACCCAGTAAAGGTTAGTTATACTGCTGCTGCTAAGACAATACCATTTTTTGTCTAGAAGAACATACATCAAATTGTCGATAAGAATCATCTCTGAGAAGTGTGATCACAGTTGGCCATTGGGGGGAGGCATTTCTATAATGTTCGAATTTTTCTCTCTCTCTCTTTTTTTAACTATCAGCACATGTCACATTTATAATGAAAAATAAATACAGGTGTGGTAAATAATATATATATAAACATATTTGTATATTAAGCCTTCATAAGTAGAAACCAAGCCACCTTAGTGAAGGAAACTTAAAAATATATCAAGGTAAGTCAGAAAGAGAGAGACAAATACCGTATGCTAACACATATATATGGAATTTAAGAAAAAAAGAATGTCATGAAGAACCTAGGGGTAAGACAGGAATAAAGACACAGACCTACTAGAGAATGGACTTGAGGATATGGGGAGGGGGAAGGGTGAGCTGTGACAAAGCGAGAGAGAGGCATGGACATATATACACTACCAAACGTAAGGTAGATAGCTAGTGGGAAGCAGCCGCATAGCACAGGGATATCAGCTCTGTGCTTTGTGACCGCCTGGAGGGGTGGGATAGGGAGGGTGGGAGGGAGGGAGATGCAAGAGGGAAGAGATATGGGAACATATGTATATGTATAACTGATTCAATAAAGCAGAAACTAACACACCATTGTAGAGCAATTATACTCCAATAAAGATGTTAAAAAAATATATATATATATCAAGGTAAAACTGTCTGGGAATCAGCAATGGGGTGGGTACACTGCTCTGAAGCCCAGAGGTCCTTCTCCTGTTTTGCTCAGACGTCTAAGCTGAGATGGATAGACAAGCACTAGCTCCCAGGCCCTTCAGTTCTGCACTGAGTGGAAGAAGAGCCTGAAGACTAAGGTGCTGAAGCGTTTACGTGGCTCACGGAGGTGCTGGGAGAACACAGGACTCCTGGCTCCCAGTCCGTGCTCTCCCCTGTGTAATGAGGGTAGAGAGGCTGCTCCTGGCCCTCTCTTCGTCCCAGAACGTTCCACCTGCAGCTGAACCATCTGGGATACCTGTTACGAAGATCCTGCTCTAGGGGCTTCTCCCACATGAGCAGTTTGTTCCCCAAAGGAAGTCTCAGGGCAGATTTCAAGATCTCCCACAACCCAAAGGTTCTGATTTGGTAGTTCTGTTGTGGGGCCCTGGAATCTGCCTTCTAACAACCAGGTGACTGGACTGCAGGTGGACCAGGGAGCACTTCTGGGGAGCATCACCCCCCAGGGTAACAGGGAGAGGCTGGTGTATCTTCTGAGAAGCTACAGGACACGGAATATGCACGAGGGTGA